CACAAAACCCCAAACCCCCCCCCCCCCCAAAAAAAAAAAAAAATTGTTATGCTCCCTCTTCTCATCCCAAGAACTATAGTAATGCAACATCAAGCGAGTACAAGACTATTCTCATTCTGTTTTAAGGTTTAAGAATCTCTGTATGCTTTATTATATGTATGAAATCGAAACTTTGCCTAAAAGTTCTACATCAAAGGGTCACTGAACTTAACAGGAGTTGAGAGTAGACTATATAAAGTAGTCCAGAACTAATTAGTAGAACATGCAAAGAGGTAAGGAAACTCAACAACGTTTCTTTGATACACATCTAACATGGCATAAGCATAGCAACTATATGACTGCAAAATGGCTACAGAACACCAAAAACCCTTCAAAACAAAAAAGAACTTTACCGTCATCCAGCTACACCGCGAAGCAATCTCTCGAACAGTTTTGTCAGGTAAAGTGTTTGCAATTTTAATATACTTTACGATACTTGGCTCATCCTTATACCTGCAAAAAAAACAGAACCAAACATCAACTTCAACAAAAAAAAATAAAGACACAACCCATTGATGATACAAAAGAAAGAAACACACAAAAAAAAAAACACACGCACTCACTTCTCAAGGCCCTCCTCCAATCTAAATTGTTCTTCAGCTGACCAATCATTAGCGAAAGGAGTATCTACCTTGAGCCCAGAAACCGAATCAAGAGAAGATTTTGACGAATACCCATTTTGAACAAACCCAGAATTAGCATTATTCCTCATCATATCCATCCCCAACGAGGAACCACTTTGACCCAAGTAAGGACTCATCTCTGACGAAGTATTCGTCTGGAAGTTTATAGAACTTAAAGAACTCTCATGACCCAACCCAGAACTAGACATCCACATAACTGAAAGGAAACTACCATATAGAGACACAAAGGAACGAACTTTAGCACTTTGGAACCCTAAACTAATCTAAAAATCCAAACTTTACTTTGGATTCCCAGAGATCCAAGGCTAAACTTGAAGCCCTTTGATCAGATTTGAAAAGACAAGACCTTTGAATAGAGTAAAGACTTAAACTTTGGTTTTAAGCCAATTATATTGCTACACCAATTATTTAGTTTGTGGAATTGCTTTAAAAAAAAAAAAAATTAGCTTACAACTCTCTCTCTGTGTATTCAGAGAAGCAAGGTTTCTACATCTATGGTGAATTTTTAGAGGAATGAAAACAGGAAAAGGTAGAAAATGGAGAAAAGTATGTGTCTAGTGTAATATTATTGTAGTGTTTCTTATATATACTTGATGAAAAACAGTGTCAACTTTCCACCAGCTTCTTGGGAAAGAGATAAACTCAAATCTGCTCAATAAAAGAAAGAAAACTACTTCAAAAATAAAATCTAAGGGTAATACTCTCTCTTTCAGTTTCACTAGATTTCTTACTTAGAGAAGGGTCTACAAATTTAATATTTCACAAAAAATCAATAGTTTCTTTCTGTTTTGAATGCTAAGAAATTAACTAACTATAAATGCAATATTTTAGTTAATACTTTAGAATAATAATAATTTAATAAATCAATATATTTTGCTAAATTAGTTTAATTTTTTTAATATTTCACCAAAACTAATAGATTTCTTTAGTCATTAAGAAAACAATTAAAATTTAGTTATAAATATATTATATTTCCTGACTAATAGTTTTAACAGTATCATTTTTTAATAAGGACATTCATTATTTTAAAAGTTCTTTGTTAATCTACTACTATTTAATAATAATATACATACATTAAATTACAAATTATATTTTGGAAATATTTTTTAAGATATTTATCATTTAGAAATATAGTCATCTCTTCTTCTTCTTTTTTTTGACAAATGTTTTTTCTGAAAAAAATAGTCATCTATTCTTTTATAGGAAAAAGAAAAAGAATTTTGACTGTAATCAAAGTATGGAATAAAAAGTAGATTCCCTCCCTAACTGAAGGGAGGTAGACCAAGAACAACATATATTCATTTGTGGTTTGTTTATTTTTATATTATGATTTGACATTTAACTTATACTAAAAAAATGTAAGTAAATAGATGGTTGGCAGATCGTGGAATTCAACAACAGTGCGAATCCCAATAACGAAGCATTTGATGCCTTTCTTCTACACTTTTTTATTCCCAAAAAGCTTTATCAACTACAACTAGACACGATTTTTATTTTCTTTTAACGATATGTTTACTCGTTGTCAAAAGTTGAAACTACTAGCTGCATAACCCCCGCGCAAGCGCGGGGCCGGGATCTGTGTTTTTTTCGGTTGTTGGTTTAGTGGGTTATTTTAATAATACCATATAATGATGAAATGAAAAGAATGTAGCAAGAGTGCAAAGTGAAAATATTGTATATATAATGTGTTAAATGTTATTTATATGCGAAATAAGTTATAGGAATAACTAAATTATAATATAGTTTTTAGTGTATAAAAATAGATGTCTATATTGTTTTTTTTTATATTGGAAATAGTTTTTATATCGGATGTCAAAACTTGATATAAATATTTATTTATAGTATTTATATTTGTACTAAACGATTTATCAATTTGAAAATAACTTTAATTTAAGCTAATATTTGTTGTTTGGGTTTCAATAGATAGGTTTGGATATGTTTTTTGTAATTTTGGATTTTGTTCATGAATAATGTGGTATTTTTCTTTACGGCGTCATCGACTGTGGAAATCCATCTGCCGGAGTCTGATAAAAATGAAATTATAGTAACTATTAAAAATTAAAGAGAAATTACATATTTATTTTATAAATAACAAAACTATTTTTTATTTTATTTCACATACATAATTTTTTGAAAATATATATTAGGAAATATTTTCTAATAGTAAAAATATATATTAGGACATGATAGTGCCGCGTGAAACTCGTTTTTTTTCTTTTTTTTTGGATGTTCGTTTTTTGATCCATTTTTAATTATTTTTGGGTTTAAGTTCGTCAAACTTTAGAATTTTTCCACTATTTTGGGATTTAAACCATAAGTCCAGAGGAAAAACAACATTAAAACTATAAAGCCCATATGATAATAATCCAAACGAAAAAACGAAAATACATAATAGCTGCGTGGTTTGAACCCACATACTTGCAGACTTAATTAGATGCATTATACCACTTTGCTAAAGTGTATTCATTGTTCATAGTCTTTTTAAAAAAACTATAAACTTTTAAAATTTAAATATGTGGGGTCCACTTGGCTGCTGATGTGGATAGCCTTAGGAACTTCAAAAGTGAATCATTATTATATAGATTTGATTAGATTCATGGTATCTTTTGTTTATATGCAAGTTTATCTCAACATCTCAATAATTATGGAACAAATTCATAAATATATCCGTCCGTACAATGCTTCAATTATATGAGATTTAATTAGGGTATTGCAAATATGCAACTATATTTTCAGTTCTAAAACCACGTAAGAAACAAATAGCCACAAAGTTAACGTTTCTAATTTTCATAAAAATAACCAATGTTAAAATCTCTCATCGACCTTCATCCATCTTTAAAGGGGTGAAAATTAAAATTAATATTTAGAAAAAGCTTAAGTTTAAATCATGTTATGGTATTGTAATAATTTACATGGCTAAACTACGATCACGTATACCAGTTAAATTTTGTTATCTGAAAATTGTTGTTTGAAACTTTTATCTAAACAGTTTTAGTTCATTTTTTTTATGAAAGTGTTCACTAGTTTCAAATTTTATGATAATGATGTTGATCAAAAGTGACTGTAGTTTTTCTTTTAAAGTGATTGTAGTTATATTCAGTGATGGTATTTCGGAAAAGTTGTTCTTTACGTGAGAAAAAAAGGAAAAGTGGTTCTTTCAGAAATGGTAATTCATGCTGTTTTTCATAATATTATTGTTTTTTTGTATAAATGTTAAACAAAATATTATTGTTGTCTTAGTAAACATAGAAAGTGACAATATAGAATATAAGTAGTTTTTTTTTTTTGGTCAAAAGAATATAAGTAGTTTATAAACTACTTTTTTAAACGGGAATGGTTCACACTTGGTGATATTTCTTGCACGATGTTAATTTTTTTTGTTGTAAATCATTTATTTAATATTATAAATAATTCATTTTTTTTTTCTAAATCTCGGAATTTTGACTTAGTGGTAAAAAACATTAATGAACCAAACCCTTCAACTAAAATTTTTTTTACAGTATTAACTAGCGATCGATGATGAAAATTTTCAAAAATGCACCAAAGTTTTTTTTTATTTAAATAGGAATATTTTGAACTAATGGAGTGATACATACTAATCTCCAAATAAAAATGTAGCATAAATGAATATATTTCCGGGTATTATAATAAACCGTAAGCAATGAATCCATATATGTGTGATCACATGTAGAACTACTAATTTAATACTGGAGGGAATTGATCCTTGGCCTATACCAATATAACAATTTCTCATCCCGTAGAAACTATTATACATCATTGTGATTAATACACCGAATATTTAATGTGCTGTTAACTTAAACTATACAGCATTTTAGGCTCTTAGCGCAATTAAAGAATGAAAATATATAGAAAAGAGAGATTGACTTGAATTATTATTATATGACTATAAGAAGTCCCGTGAGTAACTTGAACAACGGGTTCCTCCCTTGATTATCAAAAAGGAGCAAAACATGAATTCTTCAATTATTATTACCATATAAAGAAAACAAATCACACATTGCTCGGGCGAGCGGGTCAATAGCTAGTCTACATTAAAGGAAAGCAGAAATAACACATAGCTCAGAATAAATCAAAGGCTAGCACAAATAACACAACACTCAAAATTTCAAACCGGAGTCATTGTATTTCTCCTGGATGATCTTGTCGATTTTGTTTTCCATTTCAGTAGTCAGATGATTCTTGAAGTCACCCACTTCTCCTTTGCGGAAAAAAGTAGAGTAAGGCACATTGTTGAAAGTTTTCCCTGAATTGTTGATCTCCATACCGCTCAAATTACGCAGAGAACAAAGTTCCACGAGCTTGTCCACGGAACCATCTTCTTCTTCTTCCTCAGTGAATGGACAACCCAAGAACTCAGCAAGTCTCTTAACCTGAGCAGTTGGCTCTGACTTCATTTCCTCGTACCTCATGAAGAGAATCTGCTTAGGATCTTCCAAGCTACCTCTCCAATAGCTCAATACATGTTCCCAAAAGGGTCCAAAAAAGCCAACTCCCTTGCATAATGGCTCAAACAAAGACTCCATTTCTACTTCTTTTTGAAGATGAGCGGACCTGAAATACCATAGCGATACCAACACGTCCTTCACGTTCCTGCACACGTACACGACCTTGCAAGGAGAGCCCTTGAGGGGTAACTGAAGCGTATGGAATGGCATGTGAGTTGAGAACACCCTTGGAGATGAGAACTTGGACAGGTCAGGTGTTGAGCTTTTGAGATAAAGACTCATCTCTAAGAAGGGTACCAAGCCATGAGGATTATCGGACTGAAGAACATGATCAGAATAAGTGTCCGTCTTCAATCTCTCAAAGAGAGCGATGGTGAGAGCTTTGAGCCAAGTGGTTCCGGATTTAGGGAAAGAAGCGAGGATTATATCGGTTTCTTGAGGCTTGAAACCTTTCTCGTAATTAAGGACTCCTTGAAGTGTGTTTGGGTAGTACCAACATCCTTTGTAGTTGTAGAGATTCCCTTCAGAATCTTTATACGAAGGAAGTGAAGAGATTAAAGTCTTTGTGTCTTCGCTTAAGTTGTCTTCCCTGAAGTGCGGGGGGAGCTCCTTCTCATTCATTTCTTCTTCTCCTTTTTTTTGTGAGTTTTGCGGTTTCAAGAATCTGATTTTCACAAGTTTTATATATGGATGTTTTGGCTGGTAGTTCACTGCCTATTATATTATTGTATCTCTTTCTTTTGTAACAACTAGCACTGAGCCATGTGATAGGCACGGATGGAATACTCTAGAATTTTATATTTGAGTCTATCATGGGGAGAAGAGGCAATGACACAGCAAAAGAAACTGCAGATCCACAATCTACGCTGTCTCCCCAGCTCGAATCCGTCTACGGTATAATATCTAAAAACTTATTCTTAAGTTCATCTCCTAGGGTGAACCTCTAAGTTCAACAACCAATAGGATTGTTTTATTTCATATTTGATATATTTTTAGAAAAAAAAAAAAATCTTATCAAGTTATATTATGTTTTTAAAATAAAAATAGAAACAATAGAAAAAAATAAATAAAAATATTAATATTTACAAAAAACAAAAAAAAATCTTTAAAAAATATTTTAACATTATATTATGTTTAAAAATAAAAGATAAAAATAAAATAAAAATAGTAATAATTGCAAAAAACAATTTAAAACAAAAAATATTTTAATATATTTTTAAAATAAGAACATGTGTTTAAAATAAAAAGATAAAAATAAATAAAAATAGTATAATTGGTTAGTATTAATTCACACAAGGGTTAAGATTTTCTCAAAGGGTTCATGATTTACCCAAGGGTTTAGGGTTTAGGGTTTAGTATTAAGGTTTAGGATTAGAGTTTAGGGTTTAGGGTTTAGGGTTTAGTGTTTTAATGTTAAATATTTTCTTTAAAATTTTTTTTTTCGTTTTTTTAAATATTATTATTTTTCATTTAGTTTTTATATTTTTATTTTAAAAACATAATATAACTTAACAAGATTTTATTTCTTTTTTAAAAAGATATCAAATATAAAATAACAGCATCCTATTGGTGTGTGAATCTAAGAATAACTATTTTCAAAAAGGAGCAAACCATGAATCTTCAATTATTATTACCATATAAAGAAAACATATCACACATTGGTAATGCAATAAAGGAAAGCACAAATCACACATCGCTCAGAATAAATCAAAGGGAAAGCACAAATAGCACAACACTCAGAATTTTAAACCGGACCGGAGCCATTGTATTTTTCCTGGATGATCATGTCGATTTTATTTTCCATCTCAGGAGTCAGATGATTCTTGAAGTCACCAACTTCTCCTTTGCGGAAAAAAGAAGAGTAAGGCACATTGTTGCAAGTTTTCCCTGACTTATTGATCTCCATACCGCTCAGATTACGCAGAGAACAAAGTTCCATGATCTTGTCCACGGAACCGTCTTTTTCTTCTTCCTCAGTGAACGGACAACCCAAAAACTCTGCAAGTCTCTTAACTTGAGCAGATGGTTCTGACTTCATTTCCTCGTACCTCATGAAGAGAACCTTCTTAGGATCTTCCAAGCTACGTCTCCAATAGCTCAATACATGTTCCCAAAAGGGTCCAAAAGATCCAACTCCACTGCACAATGACTCAAACAAAGACTCCATGTCTACTTCTTTTTGAAGCTGAGCGCACCTGAAATACCATAACGATACCAACACGTCCTTCACGTTCCTGCACACATACACGATCTTGCAAAGAGGGTCATCCTTGAAGGGTACTTGAAGCGTATGGAATGGCATGTGAGTTGAGAACACCCTTGGAGATGATAACTTGGTCAGGTCATCACGTGTTGAGCTTTTGAGATAAAGATTTAACTCCAAGAAGGGTACTATGCCATGAGGATTATCGGATTGGAGAGGATGAAGATCATTAGAAGAATTGTTCTTCAGTCTCTCAAAGAGAGCGATGGTGAGAGCTTTGAGCCAAGTGGTGCCTGATTTAGGGAAAGAAGCGAGGATTATATCGGTTTCTTGAGGCTTGAAACCTTTTTCGAAATTAAGGACTCCTTGGAGAGTGTTGGGGTAGTACCAACATCCTCTGTAGTTGTAGAGATTCCCTATATAATCTTTATACGATGGAAATGAAGAGATTAAAGTCTTGGTTTCTTGGCTTAAGTTGTCTTCCCTGAAGTGCCGGGGGATCTCCTCATTCATATTTTTTGTGAGTTTTGGGATTTCAAGAATCTGATTTCTCCAAATGCAAATATCACAATTTTTATCTATGGATGGATGTCTCTTGGCTAGTAATTCAATGCCTATTTTATTATATCCCTTTCTTTTGTAACATGTTTTAACTAGTGCAGAGCCGGGGTGGTCTTAAACACCACGAAGTGCAATATTTTCTTAGGACTACCAAATTTTTTAGAAAAAATTACATGGAAAAATGGAAAAAAACCCTCAGATTTGTGAAATTTCTTTTTAAATTCCTTAGGGTGGAATACTATAGAATTTTAGTTTGAGTCCATCATGAAGAGAAACTGCAGATCCACGATCTACGCGTCCGCTGCTGGAATCCATCTACGGTATAATATTAAATGAACCATCCACATGAAAAAAAAAACAATATTATCTCAAACAAATTTGATTTTCTTAATGTCTTGGTGGCTCGTTGCAATCTTTTGTTTATACTTTCAACGTGATTGATGTATTAAATGAGTAGCAGAAAATTTAGAATGAACTCAATGATAAAGTTGATGTGGTATAATTACAAAATGTCTAAATTTTTTTTTTAGGTATGCTTTTTCTTGTTATATTTTTAACATGTTAGTTGTATATAGTGAAATCAGTTTAAAAAAATATAAATGCCTCTACCATGCAATCAATCACTATTACTGTAGGATTATTATGATATACAACAAAATCTCACATAGGAAACTAGGTTGTGTATTTTAGAGTCTAGATTTTTTTTTGTTAGTGCTCGTGGATTATATAATATAATTTTTATATATTTTATAACCTTTGATTTTGAGAAATGTTTTTACATATTTGAGCCAATAAATCATATAATGTCTAAGACAATAAAACATATGAAGATTGCTTAAGATTTTCCGTTCAGGTTTCTTAAATATTTTTAGAGCACATTCAAATTTAAAACTATTTAAATTTGGTATTAGTATTAGAATTTACATATAAGCTTGTGAGCTGAATAAACTTAAGTGAACTTTAATTATCATGTTATTATTATATTATCTTGTTTATTTTTCTTTTCACGAAAAGCTACTATTAAGCTACAAATAATTAAATTTGACTTACTTTCAATCAGCTACTCTCCATTTTAACTAACAATCAAGTATTTAATAATGATATTTGAAATAATGTTGTTTAAGTCCGGACTTTTCATTAAGAAATCTATCTACTCATTTTTAGCATATCTTAAGGCAATTAATAGCAAATGTAAGTTGGTAGTGGTATGTGTTTCAAAAAAAAAAAAGTTGGTAGTGGTATACGGCATATAATAATCATAAAGAATGAGTCCTCAAAATCATATCAAATACTTTTGCTTCCACGTACCGAAAAGGTTCAAAATAAAAATATCAAATCATATTGTATTTTCCAACAACTATTTTATATGTTTCCTTCTCCATAGTTCAAAAGGATTCGTTGATTCTATTCTAAAGTATTATTTTGACATTTTCAGTGAATTTAACGGAGTATATTAGAATCGGGCTGGCAACTATATTCCACCCTATACTGTAGACTAAAATTTGAAAAAAAAAAAAGAATACACTGTGTTATATCATTATATTTTCTGCATGTTATATTGGTTTCAAATGTCCACTTAGAAAAAACTCTTTGAAAATGGATTTGGGTACCTTTTCTTCCGCTCGTTAATAGAAAGCCGTTATGAGTATGTTTTTTTACTTCTGTCGCACCAAAAGAGAAAATGATAATACATATCTTCATCGTAGCAAACTCTCAACTACTAATGAATTATCAATGAAATTTGAGATTTAACATATTAATGAATCATATGGGGACAGTACCGGTCCTGTAACTATTTGTGGCCGCTATAATATTTATTACTGTGGTGGCCAGAAGCCAATGCTTCATTTCCTTGTGCCTAAAACCATCTCCAATGGTACACTACTTTTTATTCTATAATTTACACTAAAATAGAATAACTCTATTATAGTGTAAATTTTGCTCCAATGGTTTACTCTATAATAGAATTACTCTATTATAGAGTGAAATATAAAGGAATATCACTTTTTCACTCTATATTTGGAGTGAAATAATGGGATTACTCTATATTTCACTCTATAATAGAGTAACTCTATTATAGAGTAAACCATTGGAGCAATATTTACACTATAATAGAATTACTCTATTTTAGTGTAAATTATAGAGGAAAAAATAGTGTACCATTGGAGATGCCCTAAGGCCACCACTGATGGGGATAGGTTTTGTTTTGGTTTCCATCCGAACGCGATCAGATATCCGATTAAACCAAAATGGATATCTTAATATCTTAAAAAAGTATCATCACATTTACTTGAACTCAAGTTGGATGGGTAAGTTTCAACAACATTACCACTAGACCACTTCAATTTTATGTATTCTTTTTTATTATGAACATATATATCATTCGATAGTAAAATTCTTATTAAAAATAACTGATACTCATAAATTAAATAAAAACGCAAACATGAAACCACAAAAAACGAAGGTTTAGCTTAGTTTTACTGGTTTTGAATCTAAAAAAACATCAAATCAGTTGGTATCGAACTAAAACTAAAACCCTATCTGACTTGATACCCAAATAGAATCTGACCCAACATCCTACTAAAGAGTTGGGTCGAATATTATTTGGGTATCAGGTTGGATCGGATAATTCGATACCAACTGATTTGTCGGTTCAACATTGTTGATTTTTATGATTTTCTTTGTGTATATTACAAGAGGAGAGGGAGAATAGAGTTAGGGATCTTGAAGAGCTGAAACTGTTGTTTGCTTTGATTCTTGGGCTTGTTCTTAGTTATGTTTTAAGTTTCTTCTTAGTTTTGGTTCTCTCACTAACTTTATTGGGACTTTGATTTATGTATGGCTAAGTAAAAGTCAC